TCCCCGGTGACAAAAACATCTCCAACACAGTACAGTCTGTGCACCGGAAGAATGAAGTTTGCAAAGAATGAATAAACTCAGGCAAGAGAAACATTGTCTCGTGAATAAAGCAGACCAACGGAGTTGAGTGAGAAAAGTCCCGGCAATGAGATTGCGCAATCAAGTATAATCAAATGGGCTTGAAGCACAAAAATTAATACATGAAACATGTATTTAAGCTTTTAATCTTTAAAATTATTTAAATAGAGATTTTAGAAGCCAATGAGATTCGGCAGGGCTTAAGTGTTTAAAGTCAGCGTACCAGCGTCATATGATATCATAAATCTATACATTTGGAAAAAAATCAGCTTCTGTCACCAGTGGCTGTGAATGACTGCTTTCATGAGAATGCCTTGTGATGTTCACTACTTAGCAGAATACTTTTTTATGTCATGTTGTCACTGATACCTGCTGGTTTCAGCTTAAGACAGTAAGCATGACTGAGCTGCTTTTACTCAAGCCTATTACGAATAATTAAACACGGACAGCCCACCCTCTGCAGAGTGAAGAGTGCTTTTGTGTTGATACCTGGAGAGGTCTCGACGCGGTTCCTTCATAACGATCACACTGAAACTTGTTTTTAACTTAGGCCTCGGGAATGTGTTTCTATTGCCGGTTTTGAAGTTGATCACTGAACAGCAAGGGTGACAAGTTTTGCGGGGTGGGGGGTGCAGTGACACGATAAAGAACTCAAATGTACACAGGAAACTATTTTGATTTCAGCATCTTTACCTACATACTTTTCTGCCTGTCGGTAAAAAAGATATGCCACTTTCCATTATTGAGCCCTTCTGTTGTCGTACGATTTACATTCCGGTCTATTGCAAGGCATTAGGAAAATGTCATTTATAAAGTGTTACAAAAGTTCATTTTCGCGTGGAAAAGATGCTAACGAATATGCCGGTAATGCCATGGGAAGTTGCCTCTATCTTTTTTTTTGGGGGGGGTTCTAATCAGACAATTTTCCATATCTTAGACCTGACCTGACGTGCTTGCAGGAAAATCAAGACAGTTAAGTTTGTTGTTGGATTTGAATATTTATCTGTTCACAAAAGTAAAAATAGAAAAACAATTCAAAGATAGCTACACATTAAACAAGTTTACGGAATGAAACCATATCTCGCTTTCCCATCATAGACAAGTTTAGGAGCTGAACACTATACTTCCAATTCCTAAATGCCAGTGTTTAACTGCTAAACATTGTACATCAGTGCTCGAAACGTATTTACAAATTGATAGCAGGAAAGTGCCTCAGCACATGCTGTAACAAGCATACACTCTACGACTCTCTGAGTAAAACTGAGTAATTATTCCAATATTACGGAAAAGTATTTCTAAGCCTGTCATATTTACGAAACAGTTCAAATTTAATCGGCTTCTTGCTATTTCTTGATTACAAAATGAATGTTTATCCCATTGGCAAATGAGTTTTGCTGAATTTCAAGAAGGTTACTTCCGAAACTTATTCATTTGCCAAATTTTAAACAAAAGTCGACACATTTTGATGGTGGCCCTTTGTAACCTGAAGCCTAGTAACCTAGTAAGATTAGCCTCTTTCAAACACCAGACTGCGTGGATGAAGGCAATGGAAAATGTTTCAATAGTGTTATGGAAACACTTTACATTTAAATATTCTTTGTGAGTGTTTTCTCAACCCTTTTGTATTCAAATAGTAGAGGATTTTGGGAGATGATGGGAAGTTCCCTCGCTTCCCCAACTTGCAGAAATTAACATGAGATGCATGGTCGAGGAGGCATTCGCCCCCCCAAACTTGTTCCCCTTGATGTTGAAATGAATGATGAATGCACAGTTTCCGTTTTTTTCCCCACAAAGCTGTAGTGCCAGTTCTGGTTCTGAAGTCTGGTTGATAAGTCAACTCGCCCCGCGCTCTGCATTAATGGCGGAGATGCACTGCGCTCAGTAGTCATGTGTACTCTTTCCTGCAACACTCACATCATTGCCTCTGTAAGGAAATTCAGCACTGGTTTACTAATCATGTCATACTGCCCCTGTTAAAACCCGCTGAGAGCTCAGCGGTTGGACACTAAAAGTACCGTGAAATGGGAACGGTAACCAATAACAGGAATTTAGTCCCATGCACTTCACATTTATAATTTCCTTGTAGTATTTCATTAAATTGAATATAAAGAAAGAGTGCGCAGCATGCTCCATTTAAGTACTAGCAGTCGATGAGAACTATCATCNTTCCACCGAACAACGGTGAACAGGCTTTGATGGAACAATTACATAGGGTAGGCGTTTGGTTGGTGCGCCGACTGAATGCAAATCGAATCCAGGGGTTTCGACTTGGAAACTCCCCCTAATTTCCAGGTTGTTGAAATCACTCGTTACACAAAACGCTTTTCTTCACTAGGATTAGCCCAATTCATATTTTAGACATTGGGGGTTGGGATATAAAAGAAAATATTTCAATGGCCTTATGAAAACATTGCACAGATGTACATTTCTTCCAGAATGTTCTTTTTTTTTTATTATGTTCAAAATAGTTGAAGACTTTGGGAGATGATGGGAATTTCCCCTGGACCCTCAACTTATGGAAATTAACAAAAGATGGCAGAAGAGACATTTGCCCCCAGAATTGTGCCCTGCAATGTTGAAATACATGCCTAATTCACACAAGACGCATTGCGCATTTGCTTTTTCTTCCTCTCTCAATAAAGCACCATGGCCCTGTAGTGCTGTTTCTTAATTTCTTTGGAGGTAAAAGATCGAAGTGGCAGTCGTTTTTCATTTTTTAAGGCAAAGGTGCATGTTTGTCTCATAACTATAACTGAATTTAGCTCTTTTAGTTAGTAAGGTTTACACGTATACGCCTGATTGTATTCTCGTCATGGTCATTTGTTACAGTGAAAATATTAGCTTTTCTGCTTGTAGTCGAGTCGCAAGTCGTTGAAAACCTAAACTTTACACGAGATTGCTGCCCGCCAAAAAATGTCACAAGCTGCTGTAAAAAGATGCTTGTCACTACCTACGGCAGGTTTCTTAATCCTTCTTTCAAACTTTCTATAGCTATGCCTCAGTGGAACGGGCAAGTTCAGCGCTTTTTGGTAACTTTTACACAAAGTGAGTAACAACAAATTTATAAAACTGTCAGAAATTCACCCCCTGTATATTTATGAATGCTTCTGCTGGCTTCCCAGACAGGGTATTGGTGTGGTCTTTTGACATATAATAAGGGTATAAATATGTTCTTGACAGGTCTCAAACGTGCGTTTAAGACCTGCTCATACATGAAACATGTATTTAAGTTTTTAATCTGTAAAATTATTTTAATAGAGATTTTAGAAGCCAACGAGCTTCAGCATGGCTTAAGTGTTTAAAGTCAGCGTACCAGCGTCATATGATATCATAAA